ATGATTATTGTGATATTCCCATGATGATGATATCCCCCCCGACAACTAGCTCGCATAAAGATGTGATAGCTAGAGTATTTGCAGGAATGATTCTATTATTAGCATTGTTAGGTTAATCATCATCCTCTCCCTCCTACTACTTCTCCTCCTCCTGCTCAACAACAAGAAGAAGAAGATAATAAAGAGATGGAAGCGGCGGGTATAGAAATGAGGGGAATACATTATTAATAGGCCGTCACTTAGATACTATCCTTTATGATGATGTTGTTGATAGTATATGGGCTCATAAGTATTCTTCTCGTTATTGGGCTATCTAACAGTATTCTATTAATGTTGTTTTTGATGTATTAAGGTACTCTCCTAAACGGTATATTAATCTTTTAAGTGATGAGAAGATTAATAGAAGAGTATTACAATGGATGTTTGCATGTAAGGATGATAACAACAATAACAACAACACGAACAAAAAGAATGATCATGATGATCATAGCAGAGTATTACCACTACTACTATGGCTAGTAGTAGTAGTAGGTTAACTCTTAGATATTACTATTATCAGGGCCTCCAGGATGTGGTAAATCATCACTTATAAGAGTATGTGCACAACAGGCTGGTATAAAGATAATACAGGTTATAGTAACATCATCATCATCATCATCATCAGTCCTCGTCCTCCTCATGGTCGTCATCTAACACTTATTATTATTATTATCCAGATTCAGTCATCATCCCATCATCATCCCATCCCAACATCATCTAATAATATAATTAATAGGATTCAAAATGCTGTTCTACTCGCATCTACCACATGTAATTATTACCTACTATCATTAGTCTTATTAATACTCATTCAGCTAACAATCGATTATTACTATTACTTGATAAGGTAATAGTAATACTACTACATACTACGACGGCGGGGGCGGGGGCGGCGGCCACTATCTACAGTCATCATTACTAAGGTACATGAGATGGATCCAAGTGATATCGATCTAATACTAAGTATATCAAGTATGGGTGATACAACATCATCATCATCATCAAAGACGAGTAGTAAGAGTGGTAGAGCATACTCAAGCATGAGAAGAAGTGGCTACCATAAGACTATCGAAACACTTCCAGTAATCATCCTTTATCATATCTTGCATCATCATCATTTGGTAGATTGTGTGTATATGTGATGATACTTGCGATGATGGAGATGATGATGAAGCCTTACAGAGATTGCACTCATCATCAGCACTCTCATTGAATATACCACCAATAAGCTTATCAAAACTACAGGTAGTATGTGGATCAGTATCATATGTTCGTATCTATATTATTATAATCTCTGCAGATTAGGCTCAATTATATATTGAGAAAAGAAACATCTCCTGTAGCGATGGTGAGTCATGATGATGATGAGAGTAGAAGACCCCATTACTATATGATGATGATTGATTCAAAAGCTGTTAGTATGTTAATGGAGATGACTAGAGGAAATATTGGCATGTTAATTAATCGTTTACAAACAATAGTAATCATGAAGAGGAATGAGATGTGAGCTGAGATTGGAATATCTTAGAGATAATGGTGGGGATCACCACTCTGGTATTTTCAGACGAGGAAGAAGTCAAGAGGATGATGATGATGGTGCTGTTGTTGATAGGCATCATCATCTTATAACAGTTAATGATGTTAAGTTAGCTGAGGGTAGGATCATTCGTGGACCATTGGAAATCGATAATGTAATGGCGACTGATGCAGTATATGCAGTAATATTTCCCGCCGATCAGGTGAGAATGGGCAACAATTCTAAGGAGGATTCTAACTTGAAAGGATCATCATCATCGATGGTGAAGAAAAGGAAGAGTGTTCATATAGAGGATGGTATAATGGAGTCATCCTCATTACCACATCTTCCTAATACTTCACTTCTGCCGCCGCTACCTAATAACACTAAACGTGCTAGGATTGATATACGACAATGGTTGGGTGCATCATCATCTGACTTGGTCGCTGACGAAGAGGAGAAGGAAGGTGATTGTGTCGCGAATACACTACTGCGTGATGAGTCAGAGTTTCAAGATGGTAGCAGCAACAGCAGCAGCACTATATCGGACTCTAGATTATTCGAATTCAACTTTAATGAGGGCCATACTAATGCTGTTAAAAAGATTGTTTATGTGAGGGACCTTATACTATCATCATCACCTTTCAGCATTGCACCGGAAGTGCATC